TATGTGATGCAGAAACCGACAGTTTTCACCAGAATAATCTCTTTATTTATGGACAACAGAATTAACTTCAACAACCCCAAAAGTTTACACTTTGCACTATTTTGGAAGCTACTGCTCTCATGGCAGCTGACAAAACTCAACATTGCTCGTGCACTCCACAACTTACCCTCATGACCTGAGGAAAGACTGCTCTGCAGCCATTACAATAGCCTAAAAAATTGGCCCAACAGGGACACGAACTTCCTTAATACATTCATTGCTCAGTATATTTGGGGGTGCTTGAACACAACATACACCAATGTAAATTCAGGCCTATTCAAGCCTGCTCCCTCTACCTTTTCACACAGAACAACATTAACAGGCACAGTTCCCTAATGAATGCTACAGACATCTTCACTTTTACTGGGAAATCTCAGTCTACAACTTCCACTGAGAAGAAAGCAGGATTCACAGCACAATAGTCACTGGGCTAAACTGAACACGAATTATCATGAAGGCTTGAAGGCTCTGATTCTGCAAACGCATGGCACAGGTCAAACAATAAACATAAGTCTAAATAGGAGGAGCATTCAGGACTATTTAGAATGATTTCCACTCCCTTGCACACACCGACCTTGGTGCAGAGTTTTTATTTTGCTAACTGTATTAGCAACGTTTAACATTTTCTTACCCTCCAGGCCTGATTTAAGAAACATGTTTGCATTTTGTTGCACGCTGAAAAGATTTTAATGAATACTGAACTACCTAAGGCTCAAAGTCAAGGCAGCAAGGACTTGGAGCTCAGCGTGTTTCAAAAATCAAATCCTGTAGTCTGGGTTTGTTTCAGAGAGGTCCAAAAGGAAAAGGAGATGAGGAAGATGCGAGGAGATGAGACAGATTTGTCCTCTACTAGCACCTCTAGGCCAGAGCCAACTAACTCTTTCACAATTTAGGGACACCCAAAACACTCCCCAGGCAGGTAGTATTCCCTCTGAATACAGGGCCATCTGCAGAATAAAAGCAAGGTCAGACCAAAAGAGACCAATAACTGAAGGTACTTTTGCCACAGCACTCGCCTCACAGGTGGTGCCCTAGCTCCTCCACTCAATTTCAGCATCTCCAACAGCATACCCAATTGAAAGGTTACATGAGAGGAATTATTAAGCCCCATGTCGAAGTGGGAAAATAAAGAACATCTCTTCTAGGTCCATAACAGCATTCACGAAACTGCAAGTCTTGAAGCAGAGTCACTTTCACTCTTGCTCTCAACACAAATCTCCCTGCACAGCATGGCACAGCACCAACTTTAAGTAGTAACACAAGTGTATAAAATTTAAGTTAGATCTGTAAAAAATGCACATTTACAAAAACTCTGTTTTCCTGCCACCTCAGAACTGAAGTTATAAAAAACAAAAGGAAACTTTAGTGGCATTGAACAGCACAGCCTCCATCCCTCAGCGCCAGAATTCAAAGACTTGAACATTAAAAAATTAAATAAAAAATAGAAGAGGGGAAGATATTTTCATATAGACAATGCAGTTGGAAAACACCAAGCAGAAAAAGGGTTTCCAAGGCTTTGGAAAAGTAAATACTCAAAGAAAGAGCTGATACTTTTTCATAGGAGCATAGCCACATCACAGAATGAAGATTGCAAAGTCCATCGCTTGTACTGGATTCAGTTTTTCCCATTTCAATACACTTTTATCTCTAAACAATCTGATGGCATTTTACTTCATCAAAAATTTTATTAAAAAATTCTTTGGGCAATCTAAGTGTTCTTCCAAATAAGAGAAATTCAGAATTTCTGTTCAAGATTTTATCTAGACATTGTTTATTCCTTTTCAGTTAAAACTATTTCAGAAGTCCACTTGCATACTTTATGCCATAAGAAACCATATAGTGAGTCTTCATAGAGAAATACTCATATCACAGAAAATATGAGGAATTCACTGAAGCTCTTGATCAGTCAAGAACAGTATTTAATATAGATATTCTACAATTACTTTCTCAAAACAAAGGAGTCTTAGGCATCCACTGAAGGCAAAGAAGAGAAAGATACAAACATATTCTCAAAGCTGTTCAAATGTTTACTAGGTTAACTGAGGACATGACAGTTTTAGGTTTATTGATCTAAATCTGTACTGAGAAATTGATCAAAGTCACAAAAGGCAAGATTAAACTACCCTGACTGGTAAGATTTATACTGATCCATTAAAGCAGTCAAAAATATTAATATTTAAGATTCAATATCATAATGGATCTAAGTCAGCAGTTCCTGTTCCGGGGAAAGATTAGATGCTACAAAAAAAAAAAAAGTAATCCATTTATCATTAGGAAGCACAGACAGCACAAGCTAAAAATATTGGAATTGTGGAATTTCAATTCTTCAGATAAACACAATTAAACCTAGTAGTAGCATACAGAAGATTAGGTATTCATCACAGAAATTCTGTCAAGAAACAAAGCTATAAAATTAATTAGGCTTCCTATCATTTAGGAAGCAGAGAATTTCATCGATTTCAAGCTCCGAGTTCATTTCAGAGAAAAAGAAAACAGTGTATTTGTTTCCCACAACCATAGGAATATCTACAAAATACCTACCAAATCACAGAGTTGCTTCCAACCAAAAGTAACCATACCTTTAACACAGGAAATCTCATAACTACTACAGTAAGCATTTATCAAGCTATGCTTATTTTGTTATTCCTGTCTTTAAAAAGATGAAGAGACTGAAAATGAATCAAAACCAAACACAAAAGTAGAAAAGAAAACCAGGTGGAAACACGATACTCCATTACTTCTTTTATCCAGGAAAACTAACATCTCTGGTTCCTCAGTAACTACATTCTTCCCATCCAATGAGTTTGCCAAGAGAATTCCCTTGCAAGTTGACCATTATCGCTAGACAAAGTGGGGGTTTTTTCAGACAATTTCCCTTGCATACACAAGAATGATCTTAAAAGAAAATCTTTATTACCATTAACTTCCCTGTAGAAGATAATTCCTGACACATCTGCTTGAATTCCTACATGTTGATAGAGACTGCAACTAACGTGGTAACTAACCAGAAGCAACTCACTGTCCTGCAAAGTAAAATGCGGTTACATAAACTCTACATGTCACCTGAAAGGACAGGAACCCTCAGCTGAAAAACTAAGATTTTAAACAAAAATGTAAACACTCATTGTTTCACATGTTACGTGTCTGATAAAACAAACTAGATTATCATCAAAGCCATTCCTATAAGAAACAGTTGCTGCAACAGATGTAGCAACTTGTCCTTCCTACAGTCAGCTGATCACTTTGAGACTCTCCAGAGTTATCCCTTCCTCTTTTTTCCTGCTCTTTTTCAATCTGATGTTAAATCAAACATCACGTCTTCTCCTCCCATTTCCCACTTTAGACTACATCATTCCTTCCACTTCTAGAGTAAACCTCTATTTCTCATTCAGACACATATTTACTTACACAGCACATCAGCCATGTACACTGCCCTTGTTCAAAACGGAGTTCGTCAGCGTCCACATTCTCAATGAATAGTGACCCTTCTGAACCGAACCATCTTTAAAGCCTTCACACGTGGCAATATAACCATTTTTTAATCTCAACTCCTGCAATAGTGACTGTATTTTGAAATTCAACTACGTTTTGTCCTTTGCTCTTACAGTAAGTCTACTCTTAAAAAAAAGAGAAGAGAAACAAAATAAGCTATTATCTTCAGCACAAATTCGTTAACATAACCACAAACTCAGTGCTGTGACAGAAAGCATCCAGCAGCTTTGGCCCTTCAGTAATCCCATCTCCTTAGCAATGGAGCTGGGGGTGGGTGCAAATACAGGTTTAAAGTTTCTTATATTGGATACAAAGACAATTTACACTGTATAAGGAGATCAGAAGTTCATTGGGACCGTTCAGGCACTTTAATGTGAATCACCCAGTAAAGAGGTTGCATCACAGACTGGAAAACAAGCAGATCGATACTAACAGTTTACCCCAAGCTGACAGGAAGTCGTTCAACTTTCATCCACTCCTCACGAATAGGACAACAGTTAGTGGAATCCAAAGCCAGATTTGACAGCATTTCTGTCACACAGGAATTTTTTCGCTCACACTACTCTTCGCTCTGCTCCTCTACAGGGAGGCTCCTGGCTTGACTAGAGGAAAGATGAAAGTTTTTCCACTGACATGGAGCAAGGGACTACAAGCATCTGTGAAATACCATAAAAAACCTGCAACTCCTCTACCAAGTACCTTGAGGTATACCTGAAAGGTGATACTGACAGACAATAATAATAAAAGACAACTTGCAGGAAACCATGAAGAAGTCTCCTTGGATATTACAGAAGGCACTGGCCTTAAGCAAAAGAACTAAAGGTAAAAGTAAAATTCAAGTAAACAGCTGGTTATCAGGATAATCGGATTTCAGCAGCTAGCATATCACAAAGATTACGACACAGACCTTTTCCTCATTTTGGATGATACTTAGAAAAAGTTGCCAAATATCTGCCTTAAGACATCTTGACCAAATTACAATGATGATCTCTACCATTTGTGGGTTTGGGCTTTTTTGTTACCTAGAAAACTCACATCCCAGTGTTTCCCACCATTTTGGTGGGTGTTTTCATTTTAGGTTCACTTTTTGTACCCAGCAATTGTAACAGTAAGGTTACTATGAAAAAATTCCAGTAATAAACCTTAACACCTTTATGATGATTTCATTGATTTTTAATTATACAATTACATTTTCAAAGCACATTACATGGTCAGCTATTCCATGCACCCTACAGTTAGCATACTCTTGTGGCATTTAGGCCTCAGTAAATAAACTGTCTTCATCAAATCATTTATTATTAAAATATAGATATTAAAGTCAATATTTTTTTCACTAACACCAAGTCTAAGTTTCTAGCACAAAACACAAACACTGGCTATTGCACAAAACGACAAATTAATACAAATTACATCCCACTCTCCCTTCCAACTGCCAAATCAGATATAGTATTCATAAAAGCACAATATACCTTGCAGAATTAAAGCTTTTAACTAGTTCATCTAAAGTCCGGTTATTTTTCAGGTCAGATTCCGAGACTGCCTATTAAGAAAAAGAGGCAAAAAAAAAAGTCAAATACAGCAAAACAGTAAGTAAACAGAAAAGGTTCAGGTGATCAATAATTTTTCTTGGATATATACTTCAACCTCCACCACCCTAAACTGATAGCTCAATGAAGATGCGTAAAGTTTAAGCGTTTTTTCCTGAAAAATACGTCACACTAAAATACTGCCTGCTGGCACTTAGGCAATAGATAAAAATGAAGTATTAAGCTAAAGCTACAACATCCAGTACACCTAGTCTCTGACAATGCTTTTTTGTAGCCCAATTCAAACCATTTTGAAAGCCAAAACAAGAACACCATGAATGTGGTAAGAACTTTAAGCAATGAGGAATGAGAACACATGAAGAGAAGTGCTATTTTTTTGAATGCTTATGGAATGAAAACATGAATTATAAGGTAGTTTTCTGCATTCAATTCATTCTGTTTACAGAATTCCTGATTTTTATCTCTTGCTGTTTCTCTTTGCTCTTCTTTTGTCATTCCAAAGCTTTTACTACTCTTGCTCATTACTGCAATCAATCCCTGGGATTTTTGAGAAGGCAGTAGTAAAACGTACTCTCCAGAAATGTACACCAAGAAGCTTGCATGTCTGAATGTTTAAAAATAGATCCATTTTCCAGTCCTCAGTAATCTACTCTGATTCATGCTTTAGAAATATGGAAGAACATCAGTTTACTTTGCCAATACTCTTGAAGCACTACTCATTGTTTTTAGGCAGCCTACCATTTTCAGAAGTTCAATAAAAACCCAACTGGCTTATGAGGAAAAGCTAGATTAAGGCCTAGAACAAACTGCATTCTATACTCTTTAGTCAGAAAAGGCCTTCAAGTCAGATCATAATAACCACCTACCTGCAGAACAGATCAAGTCTGCCATGAGTGCTTTCCAAAAGAAAGAATATATTTACCCTAATTTTCATAGCAAATACCTCCTTCCCCTGCTGTGCAGCATACTACTTTTCTATAGTCTGTGAGCTGTAATACTAGGTATTCTGGTATATCTGGTGGCCTCCAGACACTGCTAAAGATTCCTTGAAAGGTAAAGGAGAGGAGCAAACCTACTGTCAATAGCCTTCAATGCACTTAAGTTGTATCTATTAGAAGAGGCTAAGAAAAACCCTACTGTTGTGTGGTATTCCTTCTGCAATACATGCTGTAGATAAAATAAGCTCCTGCTCACAGAACAAAAATACAGAAGCAATAGTGTAACTGTCTAAACTGTCCTGAAGGCATGCAATCTCTGTCCAAGTATCTCCAGTGATCATATAGGAGAAAACACTACAGTAACACAAATAGGCAATTCAAAACATTACGGTTATCACTGTTTTACTACATTATGTTCACAACTGCTTTCTTTCAAAATAAGCTTTTTTCAAATTCCCTTCCATCTCACACATTCAATTCAAAATACATGGGTGAAGGGGCAACGCACAGGTTTGTATCGGCTATATGTTCTCAAAAGCCTTTTTCGCTCATCAAATTTAGACCAAATTCAACCCAAAAGCAAGTTTTTAAACAATAACCACAATTTGAGCCTGAAAACCATTAGAATGAACGCCAACGTGCCCTGCTGTGAAATCCTCAAGAATTAGGTGACTACTGACATTTAATTTCAATAACTGTTGCTGTTACATGCCTTTGAAAACTCAGGCCATTCAATCATGGAAAATTTAAGCGCTTAAGTTTCAGCACTAAATGTTTTAAATGCTGACTTTATGAACAAAACAAGAGGCAATTCTACATGTTTTGACACAATTTTTTTTTTTTTTTTTTTTAAATACACGCAGCTCTGAGTCCAAACGCAATTTTCATTCTCCATCTACTTCTTCTGCCTATGGTGACAGAACAGTAGCTCTGAGAGGGGAGAATTTCAATTGTAACAGAATCGCCGGTTGTGCAAACAGACATTTTTTCCCCACTGAAAGGGAAGGTAGTAAGGCATGACAAGTACTAATTTTTTAGTATAGTAAAAGGTCCTGAGATTTGCCAAAAATAAACAACAAACAAATATGGGACAAACAAAACACTTACCACACAGCATGTTGGACACTGAGTTTTGTAGGACAAAAACTTGCGTATACAAAGGGAACAATCTGGAAAAAGGAAATATATAGTTTTCAACGGGCATTCTTCCAAAAGCAGCTCAACACAATGCTGGTTAGCATATTTTCTCTTTCTATAATATATGCAAACTGTTCCACAATACACCAATATTGAAAACATACCATTATTCCACAGAATTAAGATCAGTCTTCTAGTGAAAAACTTGTATCTTATACAAGCACCTTTCAACAGCTGATCTCAGTCTCGCTGTTAAGGGCAGACGTTCATCTTTCTTTCATTAAAGCAAAGCAGGAAGATCTTAGCCTGCTACTACCACTAAAAGCAGAAGAGGTGCGTTTATTGGTCTACAGCAGTGGGTTTCACTGCCCCCACCCCCGCCCTTTTTTTGATGTTTACTAACGGAAAACATCAACCAGAAAAACTCTCCACCTCCACTTTATCCCAGATGTTTCTTTCCCTTCCCAAAACTTTTGAGGGAAAAGGCTAAAGAAGATGGACAATAGCTTTGGAATGCTAATGCAGAGATGGCTTAAATGCTTCCCAGTAAAAGCAAGTCATTTCATTTGCACAGGAGGCTTCTTTGTTGAAATACACCATAAGTTTCATTTTGTCTCCGGAAATTTTTGGAATTATTTTACTTTCTGTACTTATTTATGAGCTTTCATAACCCCTTCCAGATATTAAGGGAGCGCTTCGGTACTCTCTATCAAAACAGACATTCACTTACTAGTTCTTTATCGCTCAGAGTTTCAGCACTTACAACCTCTAAGTACTACAACTAATCAACAATCACCTAAGCAGATGTATTTCAAAAACCCTCTCTGAAGAGGTTGGAGAAGAAGTAGGAGCATTAATACATAAATTCAACAGTTACACCTGCAAATCCATCCAAACGCTCAAAAGTTACATTATATAATATGATGTGATATAGGGGGAAATCCATATAAAAAGTAGTAATCTTTAACTGCATAAATATGAATCAACTTAATAGAACTGGGCTGCCAACATCTGACAATCACTCATCTTCAGTAAGCAACGGGATTGACTTATGTTTGCAGCGATCACTACTCACACCCGGCCGAAGCACAGTCAGGGATAATAAATGACCTAAGTCCTTAGTCTTAACATTTGTGCATAGGGCTCCCTCCGGGCACTTGCAAAGTAGATAAAGGCCGTGCAGTTTCCTGTCCCAGCTCCCTTCTTTACTACTCAATTCTTCCTCCTACAGGAGGAACAGCCCAGCCACAGCCAGGTCTCAGCCTGTCATTCTTGGGGCAACAAAATAATTTTCTGTCTATGATAAACTCTGCATGTACATCAGGAATTAAGTGGTACCACAAAGCTCACTTTCATCTGCACTGACAGACGATACCCATCTGTAAAAGCGTATCCACTAACTCATTATAACGCTTGGCGGCAGCCACGTATTTCAGTATATAGAAAGGAAGAGAATCTCAAAATATTAATTTAATCTGAGAAACAGTTCTGAACGCTTAAATGAAAATGACAGAGTAGAAACATACAAAGCATTGCCAGCAAATAATCCACTCCATTAAGCTTAAACTGAAAGAAGCAAGGTGGAGAGAACAAAGAGGAACAAAACAAGCTTGGCCTCGGGACATTACAAACCTCTGTAACGAACAAGAGTCAAGGATGCCACAATTTACACACCAGGCATCTAGAACTCTAAGTGAACAAGCAACTCTGAAACCTGCTTAGCTAGAAACAGGCTGGCAAGTTCAACAAAGATTTTAAAAAAGAGAAATCCTGAATGACAGGAAAGAGCTCCCTCCAACAGCTGTGGACATTTCTATATGAGTAAGTCAAAGCCCCACTTTCCACACTACTCTTGACACAGGCCAAGACCGCAGAGCTGCGCTCATGCTGAGCTGTGCTTGGACGAAGGCTGCGACTTGGGAAAGCTGCTAATTCACAGGGGGCTGATGCGGTCAGTAGCTCTTCCCATCACCCAGCTCAGTCCCTTGCTGGAGGCCGCTGCAGCGCGCGGATCGGAGACATCCCTCAACCATGTCACAGTCACTGGGTCATTTAAGCCCTTTAGATTCCTCAGGAGGGGCAGCATGTTTTAATACTCCTACTACAAGCGGTAACGAACACCAACCAATAAGAAGCACATCTGGTGGTAATAACCTCTTAAACCACCTCAGCATAAATTGATTCAGTTTGCGAGATGAGTTTAGGATTTAAAAAAAAAAAAAAAGAAAAAAAACAGGAAGGCCCTACTTTTAAGGCCTTAAAGAAATCCTGATTTATTGTAGAAAACTTAGGCTTGTTGCAAATCGGGAAGGAAAAAGTCAAATATATAACCTGTGAAACACAGTAAGATAGACAGTTTCTTATTCAAGTTAAGGGCCATTGAACTGAGCTGTGTCACAGGCAGGCTAGTAACACCAGCTACCGTAAGGAATTTCCAGTGCTTCTTCCACTGTTTTCAGTCGCTTACAGTTTTACCAAGCTAAGCTAAATCTCATTGCCAAACTACAACGTTCTCCTTTTTGTAAGACAGTACTACAGTTTCTGAATGAAACAATCATAGGCATTCATTTTAACATGAGACAGGCAGTGTACTTTCTCCTAATCTGACTTCAGTAAACCGTTTTGTTACCACCTTCCAACAGATTTCAGCCTGAAGCAGACAGCGTGGCATGAAAAATTCTAGCTCATAATACTCAATGCTTTCTGCCATACAGCTCTGAGATTTGCTCCTACCTCAAGATTTTATGAAAGACATTTAAATGAAGGATTTTAGGAATAGATGGGATTTAAGTTAATCCAGACAGTATGTGCATTTGTATCATCATCAGAACAGAGGCTGCACCCAAACTGCTCGTGGAAAAGTTGGTGGCTGCTTCACAGCTCTCATCCAAAAGAGGTCCTCTGCAATATTGCACAGGCAAACTTCTTTGCTGACTAAACTGTGGAGTAGCACTGAAAATTTTGTAAAGGAAATAAAGGATCGATAGCCTCTGCACTACACTCCAGTAAATAATAATTGGTCAAACGATGGCTTGTCTATAAAACCATAGAGGAGAAAGTTTATAAAAGTAAGTTTAGAAAAGAAAGTTTCTTCAGTGGCTTTCTGTCACACAGATAAGGCGCAAGTGGATTTTGTCAACCCGTAATAAAAACCACAAGGCCACTCTCCAGTCCTGTGTTTTCCAGGAAAGATATAGGAGGACAGAGCCATCCACTCAATTTTCTATATGCCTTCTTTGGCCTTCTGTTTTCGTCCTAATCTGTCAGCTGAATGACAGATTAGGCATAACTGGAGTCATAAGGCCAAGATGCACTACTATCACAGCCACCCTTATACTCCTTGGAATAAATGGGAAGGTGCAAACTAAACAAAATATAATCTTAAATTATATTAAAAGCCATAGCATAGTGGGAAAAATGAATTCATCACCCATTTAGCAACTTGCCATAAAAAGATCACTTTGACTCCTATTCTAGAGCCATTCATAAGTCTAATTTTTATTAAACCTTGATTTTAATCACCCAAATCAATACAGATTTTTATGTGATCTTCAATAAAATACAGTGTTAATCATGGGACAGCAGGTATAGATTTACAATGAAAAGGAAATAACAGTTCCACGTTCACCTCTATGAACAAAAAATAATAGCAAATTACAAGAGATAGTAGGATGAAATGAGTCAAGAACAGCAAGAAATTTACATAGTACTTTCAGTACAGGAAATCATGCTTCCTTAAATCGTACTTACAGTTATGTGAGCACTGTGGAATGATCATTGCAATATTGAAGTAATCAAAACATATCCCACACCGCAACAAGTCGTCCACCGCCTGAAAGGAAAACACAGGTCACTTAGAGGACTTCTTGCGTGAACCGCGAACGAGCAAACACACACTTCGCACAGCATAAGACCTTGCGCACCACATTCTTAAGCGACACAGACCGAAACGCACCACCCGCAGCCCGCAAGGGTGGAATTTAATGCCCGGCATTACTTATATCCGAAAGAGGTGCCGCGGCAGACCCCTGCAGAGCGAAGCCTCGCCGGGCGCCCGGCTGGGGACGGCGAAGCCTGAGCAGAGCGGAGCCGGCCGCCCTCAGCCCCGGGCCGC